ATTATTGCAAATCAATTGTCAAAACTTACTTGCTTACTTCACATGTATTTTCGATACTATTTTCACGTCATACGGACGCATTGACAATCAGCGCCGCTGGTGGTGAAAAAAAAAGACTTAATTTGTGCAATTTAGTGGACAAGTTTTGTCAATTTTCCCTATTAAGTTCGGGCTCCTTGTGTAGGCTCCATGAGTAGGTAGTTCATTTGACCTTTTATCCCATAGACTTTAAGGACTTAGAGCCGGTTTTACAATCGTTAGATTAAGTTAGCTTATTTGGCGGATAACTTTCATAGAAACCTTCTATCTAAGAAAATTATCCACCAGAGAGCTTATCTAACGATTGTAAAACCCAAAGATAAAGAAGGTAAAAACGACCTTTAAACATCTATGGTTTATCCATCCAACTCGATGCGCCATCTGATGGGTCTCATTAGAGAGGTCACTTTTCCTATTGAAATTGGGCGAAGTTGCAAGACCTGTATATAAGACCGTGGGTATGACCATCACTGACAACAGAGATGTCATTTTTAACAACTGTTTTAACATTTTAAATTTTAAACTCATTCGCTAAAGAAGTATCGCTAGTTGCGCCACCACTCGGCTGTTATCATCGTAACAAAAGTAGAACTTTTAATAATCAGCTGTCAAACGCTTAGGTTACAAACGAGTGTTTTTGAGAATAAAGCTGGAAAATGTTAAAAAAATATCGAAAAAAACCGTGGATCGATTTGTTGTGTTGTTGGGTGTATTTCGAGAGGAAATACTGGGTTGCGTTTTTACCGGTTTTCCAATAAACAGTGTTAATCTGAATGAAGAAATAAATTGCATACAGTCTCTGTAAATATAAATTGTACCTATTGGATACAATAAATACACATTTTAGTAGTGATTAACGTGAAAAGTGTAAACATTTCAATTCAGTAAAAATCGTCAAACAAATTAGTCGTCTAAATTTAGCAGTATTTAGCATTATTAAAAGCGTTGATTAAGAATTCTTTAAAGTCTCCACTCAACGGTAAAATACCATTATATTATGTATTATATATAATATTATGTTGCCATGAATTCGTAGGTATATTTTGTTGTTTAAAATGCAGTTGTCGGCGTTTTTTAGAGAACTCAAATATAAAAATGATTAATTTTAAGGTTATGTTTGTGCAAAAATTAACTTAACTAATTAAATTTCTTAAAAATGTCCAAAATTAAATATAAATTAAATTAGGTAAAGTTATCATTAGTTAATTCTGCACCAACAAATGTACTTAAAGAATTTAGTTCTTGAATTTTATTTACAATAATTCACCATGATCCCTTTGATAAAATACACACACTAACGTAACTATATAAGCATTTAAGCGTTAAGTTTCTTAATCAATGATATAAGGAATAATCAATAGTACTAAAAAAGTTTTTTAATTTTTTCCTTGCAACGTAAATTACAAATAACGTGCGCGATTTAGCTGTGCAATTGAACAAAGTTTGTCGAGTAAGACTTCGGTGCTTTAAATTTATTGTTGACAATTCTTAAATTCACGCAATGCATTCGAAGTCCACCAGATGGCGCGCGCGTTGCGAAAACCCGATACTTCTTTAGCGTATAGCACACATTAAAATAAGGTTTAATATAACTTTTTGCATTTCGAAAAAAAAACTTTACTAAATATTTTTTGATTTTCATTAAATTTTGGATATAGGCATTTGGCATAGTACTGAACGCGATGTTGTATTGAGTGTGCAATATAAAATGCCTAACCTGTTTTTTTTTTAAATTTTGGTCTGCTTTTTAAATCGTGGTAGGTTTGGTTTTAGGTTTTGAACAATTTTGCTGTACATGGGTACGCTCAGTTTTTAATTCTTTACAATGGGAAAAAAGTTGTTGAAAATCCGTACATAAATAAAAAATTTACAGAGTTATGTGTATATATACAGTATATATATATATATATATTTATATATATATATATAAATATATATATATATATATATATATATATATATATATATTAAAAGAACCGTATGTCTGACGACGTTTCGGTACAATCTCATGAACCATCTTCAGGTCTTATATGCTGGGCTGCTGCTGCTGCTGCGATTTAGACGTGGAGGCAGAAGACCACTTGAAGTTTCTTGAGTAAACATCGGCGTTCCGCAAGGATCTTTACTGGGCCCAACCCTATGGAACATTCTATATGATGGTCCCTAAAACGGACATGCCTGAAGGAGCTACGATCATGGATTTAGCAGACGACGTGGGAATGGTGGTCACTGGCAAAACATAACAGGCTGGTCACAAAGTTAAGTTTTCTGTACATGTTGACTAAACTGTTAAGAAAGCTAGGAAAACCATATGGGCCCTGGCGCGTATTATGCCAAACATTGGAGGACACAGAACATCTAAGCGAAAAATTTTGTCAAGTGTGATCCATAGTTAGATCATGCCACTCCAATCTCGCATAAAACTTTACTGTAAATAAAAGCAGAGCACACACTCTTCTTAACTAGAGTCTACAGACCATACTTCACAAAGGCCCGCACATGCGCTTTGGTTTATCAGCTGATCTACTGTTAATCAACTAAAATGGGCAAAAGCTCCAGATAGGAAGAAGCCAAAAATTTGTTCCTACGTCAAAGCGAAATGACTTTTAATGCTATTAATGATGGGGAGTCTATTATAGTGAGAGAAGTCTTGGAAAAATACCTATCCAATAATTAGAAGCATAATTAAATTAAAAAATAAACTTGTAATAATTTTGTGTAGATCAAAATAACAAAAAAATTAAAAATTGCGAATTTTGTCATGACTTTTTTTTCAATCTCTAACGCGAAACAAAATATCGACATGTTTGTGAATTCGTAGTAGGCTGAGTTTAAAGTTCGGATTTCAGTTGAATATCTTAAAAAATGTGACCTATCAACATGTATGACTGTGCAAAAATTCATACCTGTATTCCTTTAAATAGCGAAAATATAAGGGTGTCTTCATCTTAAATGGGACACACTGTATATGAAGTTAGTTTTAAAGGTGCAAAGTGCGTGACATTTAGGGTAAGGGTTTTAGTTGGTAGGAATCCGACTCTATCCTTTGGATGTCTTATGATTTTCCCCTCCCTATAAAAAAACCTGTACGCTTACAGCTTAAACGATAAAAATCTAAAATACGACAAAATAAAATAACGACGAGCTAAATAACAAGCTAAAATGACGACAAGTTAAAATGTTAGCAAGCTAAAATGATGACAAGCCAAGGTAAAGACAAACTAAGCTGATAACAGCTAAAATGATGACAAGCTAAAATAGTGACAAGCTAAAATAACAAGATAAAATAACGCCATGATAAAATTACGACGAGCTAAAATGACGTGATGGAAAGCTAAAATGATGACAAACGATAACAAGCTAAAATAATGACGAGAAGCCAAAAAATAACATGCCTTGGTAAGTTTAGAAGTTTAGTGAAAAGTTAAAATTTCAATTTTGTGCATAAGTAAGGAAGGCACGCGTAACCCGAATCTCTTTGGAAAATTCCGTAATAAGTGAGAAAACTAAAACGCAAGTTTTGCCCGCAGGAGGAAGAAATCAGTCTCGGCGGTGGCACACAGTAATCAGGTCCCGCGCGTTTTCCGCTCGAAAAGCACAGGTATCGTGTTACCGTGTCCCGCATAAATCAAAAGCTAAAGATGGGCGTCGTGACGCCGAGTCGGCGGCAACCGGCCCCGGTTAACAGGCTCCCAGTGGCCTAGTTGCACGTAATTCTGTCACCTATCGTATGACAAGCAGTGGGTGGCAGCCAGGGACGATCTACGGTCCAAAAAAAGTTTTCAAATGATTATGCGGCATAATTTATGCCAAATATTACCAGGATAAATTTAAGATTAACAATAAAAAAGTTAAAATGATGATGGGCCTAAATAACGACAACCTGTAAGGATTACAGGCTTAAATAAAAAAATAAAAATTGAAGATATAAGTCAAACTGACAGGTTTGATAACAAGATAAAATACTTAGATTAATCTATAATATAAAATGACAAATGATGACAAGCTTAAAATATGACTAGCTAAAATGACAACAAGATTAAAAATCTTACAAGTGACGATGTAAAATGATGACTAGCTTAAATGATTAGTTAAAATGATCTCTAAAATAGCAAATTCAATTGAAATCTTGAATTAAAATAAATTAGTTTAAACGATAACAAGCATAAAACGACAGGCTAAAATGACAAGATAAAATATCTAATAGCAAAAATTAAGTTAAAAGGAAGATTTAAAATAATAAGATCATTCGGGTTTTGTTCTTCGAGCCTGTCGGTCACTTGCTCTATGCAAACAGTTTGAAAAATAAGTGACTTCCCAGATAGCAATACGACTTCTCGAAGAATGTGGGAAGAGTTCTTATTTATGACTTGGACGTCAGAATAATCTTCAGAATGAATTTTTTAAGAAGACCTCGTATGCGCCGCTTTATGAATAAATTAAGAGTTCCTAAAAAAGAGCTCGCAAAGAATTCTTTGTTCTGACTTCACAAATAAGAATTCTTTAAGAGCTTATGTTTATGATTCATAAAAATGGCTCCCTTAAGAATTCATTTTGCTGAGTTCTCAATAAGGAACTCTTAAACAATTCATATTTTGGAAGTCTAAAATATGATGACATTAAAATTTTTATTATTAAATTCAAGATTGTTTATTGAAATGAATGATAAGTACAAAATGTTATGAATAAAATGGCATATATTATATTGCATATATTTGCATTTTGTATTCGTTTATATAACTCTTCGAGGAATTCATTGCAGTTTTCAGGCTTATTAAACCCATGATAAATTCCAATCACAAAAGGTGTAGCAATTTTTGGAAATACTTCAGCTAAAATAGGATATAACTGTCTGTTCGAGCTTTTTGAAATTGGCAATCCATCGATGTGAACATTTATAAGAATATTTTTCTCAAATTTATCTATTCCAATAGATTTTAACTGGTCAATTAGTCCTCGCTCTAACCCTTAGTGAAAGTAGTTTGAGGTGTATTTAATAGTGTACGTGAATCTTTAGGTAATTTTTTTAGCTCATCAACTGAGTTCACATTAGTGAGCATTTTTAAAAGAGATCCGGTGGCCGCTTGACTTATGTTATATTGACATTGCCATTGTCCTATTTGAGTTCTTAAATCAATTGTTGTATCAGGATCAATAATTTTAGTTTGCACAGAATAACCCACATCGACATCTTTCACAGTTAAAACGCGGTCACTAATTCCCATTTGAATAAAATCAACACCATTATCATCAGAAATAATATCATCTTGATGTTCAATGGAACTTTCTGGCAATGTGAAATTATTAAAACTTGTACAATCAGCAGTATCTTGTTTATCATCAGAAAAAATATTCACATCATGCCTCGTTAGCAGTAGAGAAGGAATTTGTTGCAATAGTGATCCATTCTTGTCTCTTTTTAATCGCCGATTTTTTTGGCTTTTCAAAAATTCTCCGAAAGGCTTTCGGGTAGTCATTATCACCTATTAAATTTAAAATAACATTTTTCAGTATCGAGTCACAAATAATTTTATCCTTTAGCTTTGTAAAATTCTGCTCACAAAACAGACACAATATTGTGACACAATTGTGGCCCTGGAGGGACAAAATCGGAATCCCAGCAAAAAAATAAGCTGGTAAATATCAAATATTTAAAATCTACATCAGATTGAGTAAGTTACCAGTAATTTACCCAACGGATGCTTAAAATATATATGGAAATAAGTCTGCACATAGCCATTGGCCATGAAATGAATAAAAAAATGTTATATGGATGAAATAAAATGAAAATACTGATTGAACTCCTGATATATTTGAAGAAAAAATAGAATTATTGATAAAAGAAGAAATTTATATGGATGTTTGTAAAATGTGTGATAATGATAGTGTGATAATTGTTATTAATATGTATGGAAAATGGAATAAATAAATAAATCAAGAACAAATATATAAAGCAAGAATAATAGTGAAAATACTCAATACAATGGAAAGAAAAATATAGACGATGCAAGAAATTTAAATTTATGAGACGGAAAACAGATAATATTGAAATAAACCAAAAACAGCAAGAATATAGATAATAGATAAATGACTCAAGGGATGAGTTGAACTCAGATTCTCTTGATTGAGACCCTTGATCAAATTCAAGTTTTTTTAAAACATAATGAGCTGGCCAAATAGCTTTTAATTAAGCTAAAGGCCATTACCCCTGAACACAGTGCTTCTGTGTTCATACCCAGGTAGCACAACGTGACGAAACCGTGACGATTTGTGTCAAATTGGACACAATGGACACAAATCGTCACGGTTTCGTCACGTTGTGCTACCTGGGTATTGAAGGAGAAGAAGAAATAATAATATGCTTAAATTACGACAAGTTCAAATTATGACCAACTAAAATGACAAGATAAAATAGATACGTAGAAGCTAAAATGTTGACAACTTAAAATGATGACAAGCTTAAATGACAACAAGACTAGAAGCTAAAACGTTGACAACTTAAAATGATGACAAGCTAAAATGACGACAAGACTAGAAGCTAAAATAAAGATTTAAAATAATTATTAGCTCTCGTAGCTTGTCCCGTAAACGGAAAATTTAATTGTAATCTTGAGTTAAAAATGAATTAAAATTTGACAATTAAAAATTAATGAGTCCGTCTGAAAAAATTCCCTATGTCTTAAAAAACCGTTATCTAATAAGTAGATATGAAAACAGTACAAATATCATTTCGCATTATTAATTTAATGCTATTTATTGATATTGCTTTTGAAAAACTCAATTTGGAATTGATTTCATGCTACTTTTCGTTTTACAACAATCGGTTACACGATTACATTTCAGTGAAACAATTTCACCTGCAGGACATCATATTGTCCTTGTTTATTTATAAAACACACTACCTAGAAAGCCGGTGTACAGCTTGACATTAGTTCCTCGATGTAGATTCTGCATTGGCATTGATGGGCTGTCACCGGCAATACCAACGTTTGGCACACTCGTCGATTCTATGGGGGGATGCGTTTGCGCCACGTGACCCACCCGTCTTAGACGGGCCCGCGTCTCTGATTGGCCGTCCAGCCCATTTGCATCTCTTTTGTTTACAAAGGACGCACCGTAATACGAAATATTTGTTGTAAAGAAACTGCCTATTACGAGTATTTATATGTTGCGGGTATACCCATACAGCAAGAATTACGAGATTACCCGTGCTTTGCGGCCCGAAGTGTTATATAATTATATATTATATACTTATAAGTAGTGTGTTTATACTCAAAATGGACAATGTAATATTATTTAAAAGGTTGCAATAGTAGATCTCATCGAGACTAACACTTTTTTCAAATAAATATTTTTCATTTGAGCTCTTGATTTTAAAATATCGACCTTTTGTTTTTACTGATCCCCCTGATCTTTTAAATACGCATTGACAAGCTATGACTTTATGGAGTTTTCACGGGATAGAGTTAGCAGATTAACAGATTTTTAGTCACGGGCTGCAGTTATCTTTAAGTTAGTCACAGTTAGAGGTTATTAATGTATGGTTACAGTTATCAAATGTCATACAATCGTCAAAATAAGGTGCCCTTCTTGAAAAATAATAGTAAATGTAAAAATTATGTTATTATCTCAATACAAAAATACAAAATTATTAAACAGTTTTTTCACGCCAATCTTTGAAAGGTTTCTTTGCACGTGATTTCGCTGGCGGTATTCTAGTATTTGCCCATAAAGTATTAAAAAATTCGGGTTGAGTACCCATAACATCACATCCTCATCACTTTCACTGAAAAAAAAAACTGCTTCTATATCAAATTTTAACAGTTGCTAATTAATATTTTACCAAGAAGTATGAGTGCTGGTGGCAACAAAAATCCGAATCGAAGAGGAGGATTTTTGCACCTGCACGAATGCATTTTGTTAAAAAATATTACTTAGCATTGTGTTTTTTCGATTTTTTTCACAGGAAAAATTAGATGCCCGAATGGTATTTGACAAGACTATTTCATGAGTAACAGTTATTCTGCATACACATAGCTTACAAAACATACTACCTATTATACATGCATACATAATAAATATGTAGGTATTAATTTGAAAACTGAAAAATAGGTAATTTATTTAATCACAAAATACTACAAACTTAATTATTTTTGGTTCAATTAAAATATAAATTGCAATTTTGGTGACAACAGCTGTCAAGTTTTGTCGCGGGTAAACTCGAAAAAACTGCTGACAGGTGCTGTCATACAGTTTTTCCACCTTGAAACCATTTGTAATTCAAAATTGCGCGTTTGTGATTGGTGGAAATTAAAACGAGGGAAATAGTCATAGAAAAAGTATAGTATGTGACTCGTTTATAAAATTTTCCAAACACTCATTTTATTAAACATTCGCTCGTGCCTTATTAAAATTAATTAAAATGGCGTTTATCAAACTTGATATATAATATACTGTTATTTTCGTAATTTATAAAAATAAAGTTTTTTGTAATTGTTAGTTTAACAGGTTAACTGCCATGGTATAAATTCAAAAAATTTCTCCTGGTGCCATTGGTACTTTTAGGAGTATTAATCGCAAATTCGCAAAATTCGTTATAGTATGATCATATGAGTCATGAAACTCAAACTTGAAAGTTGGGCTATCCAGAACTACCTCTGGTGCCCGGGCGGTCCTATAGTATACACAAATTCCGCGTGACCGATGCAATGGCAGAGTGGGATTAATTTTTAAATTTGGGTTTTAAGCGGTCATTATGACCGCTGTGGCACTGCCAACTAGTATAAGAGCAGTCATAAATGCCCGCCATGCCGGTCAACCTGTTAATGTTTACAATTTTTGTATCAAACATTTTGAACAAAAATATTATTAACCAACAAAGAGGTTTATATAAAAGCAAGTGAAGGTGGATAATTTAAAAACGAAAGCTCCAAATGAACAATATTTATTTAAAAAAAGTATGTCTTGATGTGATCTACAACCTCTATTACTTGTCCATTTTGAGTAGTAACACCCTGTATATACAAATAGTGCTCCTTTAGTCCTAAAAGCCAACTGAATAAATTGTGCGGATTAGGGGTAGGAACGGACCGCGGGCTTAAAGACCCCTCCGAAGGACTATCATACAATACGACAAACACAAATAAACAACCATACCAATACTCGAACCCACTAGTCCACCGTCGCGACGCGTCGGCGGTGTATATGATTATAAAGCAATATAATATTAGTTTTTATTTATGCATTATACTATAATACTCGTACATAAATAAAACTCACATTATACCGTACCTTCATTTGCAAGCTAACCATAGGGAAAATACATTGTAACTGGACCAGATAAGTCGCAGTCATGTTGCAACACAAAGCGAGAACCTTTTCAGAAATGATTTGGATGCGTCGTCGAGACATGCGTACTAAAACAAATTTTACCAGATTTACGCCGCACAAAATAAAAAACAATAATAAAGCATCGATATATGAAGCAAGGTCAACTGTTACGGCGCATGCTAGCCTATTCGTCCACGCGTCCAAATCTGGTCCAGTTACAATGTATTTTCCCTATGGTTAGCTTGCAAATGAAGGTACGGTATAATTATACCCAGTGGCATAACAAACACCCCCGCAGACTCCGCACCGCGGGGGGCCCGGCCAGCTGAGGGGCCCACATTGACGGATGGCCTAGTCTTATTCAAAACTCACCCATTCAAAAATTTCGTTATAGAGATGGGGCTTTTGTGTTTAATTGTTTATTTAAATATTATTCAAATACAATTTTACACGAGCTAAAATGAAGACAATCTTAAATGACGTTAAAATGACAAGCTTAAGTAGGCAAATGACATATGTCATCATTTTAGCTTGTCATTATTTAAGCTTGTCATCGTTTAGGCTTGGTATGATTGAAGCTTGTCATTATTTAAGTTAGTGATAATATTAGAATATTCTAATATTATCACTAACTTATATAATGACAAGCTTCAATCATGCTAAGCCTAAACGATAACAAGCTTAAATAATGACAAGCTAAAATGTTGACAACCTTAAATAAAGGCAAGTTCTTTTTTAATATTTTTACTAGTTGACAAAAATGGTAAGTTAAAATAATAAATTAAAATAATGAATAGTATCAAACATTTTAAGAATATAAGTATCAATACTTACGTGCATTTATTAACATTGTACGTGATATTTTTCCAGTTTCAGTTTTTTGTATAATATTTATTATACCTAATCAATTTGTTGATCATTTGTATATTTTTAACTAAAAAAATGTTTTTTTACTATTTTTTTTTCAAAAGGACTTTTCTAAAAATTAGGTATTGTTATACAATTATGAAATGTTTTAAGATTTTATCGGTTTATTGGATTTTGTAAAAATGTACAATGCTATTTAATGATGTATCGATATGTATGTTAAAACATTTTTAATGGTCTACAACATTTTGAAACAGAAACCAGTTTATATTTTTTTTCG